TAAGTGAACACATAAATTACAATGCTTTCTATAATTTCTCGTTGTTGTTGTATTAATTGTAACATATGGCTGCCTAGAGATGGAGATGTAGGAAAGGAATAGTTTATATGTGTTAATTTGTAATTCATCTGATGGGGTTGAAATCGGCACCGGGGAAGCATAGATTTCTAATATCCTGTTCTGTTAGATGCTTGGGAGTATCTGGGCCATATACACTAGATAAACAAAATTCCTTGACATATCTTTTAATATATATGTGTGTGTGTGCGCGTGTGTGTGTATGTATGTGTGTATGTATGTATGTGTGTGTGTGTGTGTGTGTGTGTGTGTGTATGTGTGTGTGTGTGTGTGTGTGTGTGTGTGTTTTGTGTGTAGTGGCTGTAAAAAAAAAGATATTCACCTGTGACATTTAGCCTCGTGCCTATGTGTGAATGTGATTAGGAGGAAAAAAAGTCAGATAAAGACAGACAGGCAGAGAGACAGACAGACAGACAGACAGAGAGACAGACAGTAAGACAGACAGTTATACATAAAAGAGGTAGACATATATTCAAATAACCTAATAAATACAAAGTGTAAACAGAGGCAGATATATTAGCGACTTCTCAATATACTTTGCCTGTTGTATGATGCAGCTGTTGTATGATGCAGCTGTTGTATGATGCAGCTGTTGTATGATGCAGCTGTTGTATGATGCAGCTGTTGTATGACGCAGCTGTTGTATGATGCAGCTGTTGTATGATGCAGCTGTTGTATGATGCAGCTGTTGTATGACGCAGCTGTTGTATGATGCAGCTGTTGTATGATGCAGCTGTTGTATGGTGCAGCTGTTGTATGATGCAGCTGTTGTATGGTGCAGTGCTGTTGTATGGTGCAGCTGTTGTATGGTGCAGCTGTTGTATGACGCAGTTGTTGTATGATGCAGTTGTTGTGTGGTGCAGCTGTTGTATGATACAGCTGTTGTGTGATGCTGTTGTATGATGCTGTTGTATGATGCAGCTGTTGTATGGTGCAGCTGTTGTATGGTGCAGCTGTTGTATGATGCAGCTGTTATATGATGCAGCTGTTGTATGATGCAGCATTTGTATAATGCAGCTGTTGTATGATGCAGTTGTTGTATGATGCAACTTCTTAATGATGTAGCTGTTGTATGATGCAGATGTTGTATGATGCAGCTGTTGTATGATGAAGCTGTTGTATGATGCAGCTGTTGTATGATGTAGCTGTTGTATGATGCAGCTGTTGTATGATGCATCTGTTGTATGCTGTAGCTGTTGTATGATGCAGCTGCTGTATGATGTAGCTGTTGTATGATGCTGTATGGTGCTTCCTTTACATGATACACCTGTTGTATAATGTAATGTTCATGTATTAAGAATTTCCTTTCCCAAATCATAATTTTCCCACAGTATTAATATAAATACATATTAGACATATACAGACATATTTAATGCATCTAGTTTGAGAAAATATCTACAAACTTGGTGCAAACAATAATATAAAAGTTTGAAAATACTTCGTCTAATTCGCTGACAGTGATTGAACTTTCAAGATCTGTAAATCAAAGCAAAGATAATTTCTTTTTGAGAATTATTTTAAATTCCAATAAATTATATCCCTTTTTTTTGCTATATAATTCAATATCAGGGGAATCATAGACCATTTCTTTGTTTTGTCTCAACTTTTTTTTTACAATGTTTCAAGCATGGTCATATTCCTCGTGAAAGTTAGGTCTTATAGAGAAGAGATAGAGAAGATTTGGAATAGTCTTCAGAAGTTAAAACGCGCACAGTAGCTTGGTGCATAGTGACTCGATAACATACAGTATATTTTCAGGTTTTTAATGAGTTTAGTTGAGTCTACCTTGTTTAAATGATGTTCGGATATTCATGGTGCTTGGAAATTCATAGTATCCGGAAAATCATTTTATCCGGAAATACATGTTATCTGGAAATATATGTTATCTGGAAATGCATGTTATCCGGAAGTTCATGTTATCCAGAATTAAAATGCAATCCGGAAGTTCATGTTATCCAGAAATTCATGTAGTACGGATATTCTTTCTTAATTTCGTGACTGTTATTCGTAAAACACCTCTTAACATGGCTATAGACGTCCATCCTGACCTCATGTTAATATAACTTATGCTATCATAATTATAACAGTTGCTCCTATAAAACTTTATTCTGTTTATAGGAGAACAATATATACTTAATGACCTTAGTTGTTGAAGCGCAGTAATACATTATAACATTAACATCAAGACCTTAGTTGTAGAAGCACAGTAATACATTATAATATCAAGACCTTATTTGATGAAGCGCAGTAATACATTATAACATCAACATCAAGACCTTTGTTGGTTAATATTTAAAATAATTCTAAAATAAACTTAGCTCACAACAGCATCTTGTTCGTGCATTCCATATAAACTGTTTGTTTTTGTCGAACTTCATGGTATATTTCTCTCCTCCTCTCCCTAATTTAGTTCACCATCTACACCTGTTCACTATCCCAAGGCTGACTCATCACCTGTAACAAAGAGTCCTATTTATTTCCAAGCCTGTTATTACCTCCAGACATTTAACATATACTGCATTGTGTATCCCGCCCACTCTCGACCAACTAACGAGGATTGAAAAGATGTTGTTTTGTGTAAATAACGTTAATATATATTGTCGCTATTCACCTATATGGTAATGTAGGAGAGGCACCATCCTAATATCTCGATGCTGATATATATTTTTGATGCCAGTCGTGAGGAAATCGTCCATCAAGATCTGGCAACACAGTACCAAATTTTCTTATTGGTAACGCAAATCACCAGGTGTTCGGTTGCTGTTGGTATTCAGAATTGACTAAATTTGCTTCACTTACAACTTCACTGTATCTCAAGGTTGTTCAAGTGCTCCCAAGATCCTTAGCAACACCTCACCTGCTGAAGACAGTGTTCGGTAAAATCATAGATGCTGTGGTGTCGTGCGGCTGAGTGACGGCTGTGGTGAGTAATGTTTCCTGAAGGATCAAACTGGCTCCCGTTGCCTCTCCCACATTGATAGATCACCTCTTCCCTCGCCACCTCTTTCACTATCTCCCTCCCTCACTATTTCCCTCCCTCACTATCTCCCTCCCTCACCACCTCTCTTCTTCATCACCTCTCTCTCCACCTCCCTCATCACTTTCGTCACCACTTTCCTCACCACCTCCCACACCACCTCCCTTACCATCTCTCTCACCACCTCCCTTACCACCTCTCTTACAGTATCCACCACCACCGCCCTCATCACCACCCTCACCACCTCCTTCATCACTAGTTATCCACAATAAAGATAAAAATAGGCTTCAACTTATTAGACCGACCCAAAGAAGCTGTATTTGGTATATATTTGGTATAGTCAGAATAAACAAACCAAAGTCACTCTGATATTGGATGGAAAGAGAGTGTAGTGCCCTAAGAATAAGAACATACACACACACACACACACACACACACACACACACACACACACACACACACACACACAAAGATCTGAAATTGTTAGAGAAATTCTGTACTGATGTTATCCAATGATTAATCCTGCCTAAAACAATCCCCCATCCCCCCACACTCCCAACCGTATCTCCCCTCCTCACCTTCCCCTCAACCTTCCCCCACTTTCCCCCATCTCCACCCCCTACCTTCCACCTGTGTATGTTTTTTTCCTGTACTCCACGAAGGAAAACACAGCATTTTTCTCGTGTTTTTTCTTTTTTTTTAAGGGATACATTTTCTCCCCCGTATGGAAGTTTACTGTAAGTTCATTATCTTGGGATTTTAAAAGTGTTTCATAAAAAAAGTTGACGTCGGGAAAGAATAGGATCCAATTAACATTTTTATTGTTGGGAAGATTTGCTTTCGGAGTTGTACCGCGATTGAGACTTTTATTCGAAAGCAACGATGTATTTTAACTTTTCGTACTTAGAAGTGGTAGATTTTTTGAGGACGACGGTTTAAACCTCTAAGGACGATGGTTTAACCCTTTGAGGACGATGGTTTAACCCCTTGAGGACGATGGTTTAACCCCTTGAGGACGATGGCTTAACCCTTTGACGACGATGGTTTAACCCATTGAGGACGATGGTTTAACCCTTTGAGGACCCAATGGATTAAAGTTTCATTCTCAAGATCTTACAGGAAATGGCGACATATGGGTCAGATGTCTCATTGAATATACAAATGGCTTATTGTAGACAGTGAGGAAGGAGGATTTTATAAGATGATGGTTTTTGTATATGAAGAATATGGTCGTGATGTTGATGTTATAATGTTTTACTGTGCTTCAACAACTATGGTCTTGATGTTGATGTTATAATGTATTACTACGGTGTACATTATCCTTGAATGATACTCACCAAGATGATAATTTTTTTATAGAAATTTAATAGTCATCACAGACGAAGACGGTGATTGACAGGTAGGACAAACTTGGCGGACAGTTTGAGAGACAGACGATAACCATAGAAGACTTGACGAATATTACAGGTGACGGTAAAGTAAGGACAGCTAACAGACAGGAACATCATTGTAAAGGACGGAGAGACAGCTGCAGTAGGTGGAAGGAAGGACTAAGGGAAAAAGCCCTCATGCCACTAACTTATTGATGACAAACTCGGAGACGGTAACTTGGCCTCAACTTCGCTCCATTTTCTGGCTAAGTTTTATGTTGGTGGGTTGACCTAGTGTAGTGCAGACGTGTTCAGGAGGAGGTTAGTGTGTATTGGATGTCTTGAGTTTTGGAATACCATTATCATCATTATTCACCATCGCCCCCATCATCATCATTATTCACAATTAACCACAGCCTCCATCATCATCATCATCATCATCATCATCAATTTTAAGCCTTTCCCTCCCATCAAAATTCTACTAAAATGGTAATTGCTCTATTTTTCTCAGGAGTCCAGTAGGAAGTAAGTAAGGCACACACAGACTCACAATAACACAAGGATGAAACACTTACCTTCTTATGATGGAGTTGAGGTTAAGTTCTTGGGGCAGGAGTGACAGGCGAGGCTCATGTAACTTTTGTCATTTTGTGGTACAGGCGGTAGTGGTGGTGGCTCTCTCGCCTGCTATCTGAGTAGTGGTTGGTCTTGGATCCTGCGGGGACGAGATAGTTTGTGCGTGTGTGTGTCTTGGGTGTTTGTATGTGTGTGCATATTTGACGGGCGCTGTACCTGTATGTTTGGATGTGTTGTGTCTGAACCGTCTGTATGTCTGTTTGTTTGAAATGTCTTTGTCTGCATGTTTATGTATCTAAAACATCTTTATGTTTGTATATGTAACAGATGTTGGGTCTCTATGTTTGCTTGTAAGAGAGTTATATCAAGTCTTCATTCATATACAAGACATGGATGGTAAATCAACACAACTGGAAGCCATGAGAAGATATTCGGTGTTTCTAATTCTCTCTCTATCTCTTCTATACGGTGAAAGTATCATTGTCATCCACATACAAAGACCCAGGGGGATAATTTAACCTTAACACACCCAGGAAAGAAAGTGAAAGCATTACTTAAGGTGTGTTGAAGGTCGGGGTAACAAGCTTGGGGGGGGGAGAAATTGAGGCTGCAACAGACATCATTAATATTGTAAAAAAAAAAACATTGAATCGTTAATCAGGAGTTGGTCTGGCCGGCCTGCCTCTCTCTCTCTCTCTCTCTCTCTCTCTCTCTCTCTCTCTTTAATGTTATTTATATCATACAGGGTCTCTCAAAAGTTCGTATTTATTTAAGGACGAGTTGAGGATAACCATTTTTGGAATCCGTATCATTAAAATCAACACAAATGAACGAAGAAATATTCAGAAAGGATTACGTGTATTAATTAATTTCTGTATCAATTAATATTTGTATGGCAGTTTAAGATTAGTTTAATGATATAAAGGTTAATTATTAATTTTTTTTACCTATGGGGCTAACTTTTGGGGGATAATCTGTACAAGATTGTAATTAATGATTTATAGATATATTACATCGACTTAAAAATGTAAAGTTAAGGAGGTATCCGCTCTTCATATATCTAAAGGGGTAAAAATATTCTCAATGAATTAGTTAAGAGATAAGGAAGGAGTACTGCGGGTGTGTTTGTATGAAGGAATTTTCTTTTAGGTAAATGTCGATCCCCAAAAAATTATGTTATAGAATTTTTGATGTTTTAACAGTGTAGAATTTGTTTACTTGACCGATTCGTTTTTTTTTTACTTTTTCTCTTGTCAACGAGATTTTTTTTCCATCCGCAACTTGTTAAATAAAATGAGTCCGTTTCTCTCATTTTTTGTTTGTTTGTCTCTCATTTTTTCTGTCTGTCTCTCTTTCTCATTCACTCTCTGTCACTGTCTTTGTCTCTTTCTTATTCTCTTTGTCTCTCTCTCTCTCTCTGTCCCTATCGATTCTCTCTCTCTCTCTCTCTCTCTCTCTCTCTCTCTCTCTCTCTCTCTCTCTCTCTCTCTCATCTATTATATTCACCAATTACTCAATTTATCTCCACTTTATCTTCCGCTTATTCTATTCATGTCTGCCATTTCTCTCTCTGTTCTCTGGGAATTGTTCGTAAATATTCGATCAGTGTTATATATTGAAGTACCGACTATTCGTTAAAGAGGTTATACGACTCGAATGAAATAAAAAAATACTTCGAAATTCTAATCAATGTCCACCACACCTTGTATCTTCATCTGCCTACCACACCCTGTCCCCTCATCTGCTTGCCACATCCTCTACACTTAATTCTTCACCCCCCACCCTCTGCCCTCACCTGTCCACCACACACTGTAAATTAATTAACCACAAAACACCTACACACTATAATATTTGACTAAATCAATATTCTTTCTTTCAGAGCACTGTAAGCTTATATTACCCGAGATATGAATTAATCTTCACTATATTTCCACAGTGAGTAATTACCCTATTGTATGACCAATGGATAAAGAAAGATCATTAGGTTTATGTGTATCCAGTCGAGGTTTATCTATCCCGGTTTATTTCTGATTTTTATCGTGTTTATTAAAGTTTTTTTTTTGGGAAAATGTACTTATGACCTTCAGATTTTTCCTTGTGAACTTTATATAATGAAATTGTTTTGGTATTTGGTGAAGAGTTGTTGTATTGTTAGTTACTGGAGGTTAGGTTCATCGTCAGGTGTGAGAGGTCACGGGGAAACACTTCTGTATGTTGGTTGTGGTGAAGGTTGTGTTAGTGACCCCAGAGAGCCAGATCATGTGTGTGTGTCTTCTCTGTTATAGGATTATTTGGATCACTTGGAGATTCTTCCACCAAAGATAATTTCAGCTTAAGATTAACCTAACCTAACCTATATATATATATATATATATATATATATATATATATATATATATATATATATATATATATATATATATATATATATATATATATATATATATATATATATATATATATATCGATTAATTATAAAAACTTAAATATATTTATCACTAGATTACTTTTTCTTGAATCTTTCCTTATAAAAGAAAAAAGAATAATGATGTTTCCTCTTAACACCGACCAATCCTATACAGCCACAAGATATCACATGAAAAAGCGTGACAGATAATCAGGTCATGAAATGGGAAAATGTCACCTGCATGTCAACTCTCGGAATGATGATATACTAGACTCTGGTGTAGTGTAGTTTTGGGTATTAATAATGATCTTCGATACTTTGATTTCTTATATAAACGTTGGAATTACTATACGAGGATGTCTGTAAATATGTTTGTGTGTGTGTGTGTGAGGGCGCCTGAGGGAGCTTGTTTGTATGTTAATCTGCAGTTAAAAATACAATGAAAACGTACAGTATGTGTCGTGTGTTGATTATAATCTGGTAGAAATGTGTATGTTAGAGGAGTTTTAGCACTGTGTGTTAATATTATTATAAATATGGTAAAAACCTGTTTAAAAAAGTATCCTTTGTGTTGTCAGACGTAAACAAACTGAAAATTTACATCAACTTCTAATATTATCGATGAACCTTCTCACCAATGACGAGGCAAAAAAAATATATTTATATAATTTTCTGTGTCGTATCTTAGCTCTTGTTTTAAAATGTCATAAAGGAGTATATGTTCACGACAGCTTTGACAGACACCGAAATAAGAACCATCACCCTAGTTTACCAACCTGAAGTTTGTTTAGCACACATTCTTAAAGAGAGAGAGCGAGAGAAGGAATATGCAAGAGTAATTTTAGAGGTGATGGTGTGGCTCTCTCTTGTGGCTCCAGGTTATATGAGGATGAAAGGAAGTGTGGGAAGTAAGTTTAGCTGATGTAGGTTACGATGAACCAAAAGACGTGATGGGGAGTATAATATTCCTTTGCTGATAAAGAGGCAATGGAGAATATTACGTCGAAGTTCAGAATAAAAGATGGTATGATATTGTAAAGGCTTATAAAGATAATTATATTTAAAGTTGAATTAAATAAAGGAACGATATTGGACAACTGATATGGAAGTTCATTGATTATGTTGTTTTTAAAGTACAGTGTGTCGAGGAGAGGGAAAGATGAATGCGATATATACATTCCTCCTCCCTCCATTTATCTCCCTGCTTCTCTCAGTCCCTCCATCTCTGTCCCTCCATCTCACTCCCTCCATCCCTCTCCCTCCATCCCTCTCCCTCCATCCCTCCCCCAGATTCAAGATGCAGAGTCTATTAAACTTACAATGACACAATATGTGATGGATGTGATACCAAAGTTCAGATAAGAATTAATATTTAGGCGACGTGGAAGGAGTCTGACGGATGTACTGTATATTGACCAAAACAACGGAAGAAAATCAACAATGGATCCTTCAGTATATAGATGTAGAAGGTTAGGCGATTGTCAGAGCCCTGTGTGTGTGTGTGTGTGTGTGTGTGTGTGTGTAATAAACAAGGAGTAAGGGACAAAGGTAAAGGTTTTATACACTCCAGGTAGTAAATAGTAAACAGTGTGATTAATGTAGATGAAGTACACAATTATTATGGTTATTAATATAAGTGATGTGATGATGTTAAAGGAGAGGAGACGAGGTTAATGCCCAACATCCTCAGAGGTTACTGGATAAGAAGAAATACTAAGAAATATCAAGAAATACCAAGAAATAATACCAAGAAATACTAAGAAATACCAAGGTATACAAAGACATATCAAAAATTACCAAGAAATAATACCAAGAAATACAAGATATACAAGAAATAACAAGAAATACAAGAAATAATACAAAATACCCAGAAATACGAAGAAATATCAAGAAATACTAAGAAATACTAAGAAATAATACAAAAAAATACCAAGAAATACCAGAAATACCAAGAAATACCAAGAAGAAATACCAAAAACACTGCAGGAATCATAAGAGAAGAGGGAAAGGGTATTTGTGAAGAAGAAATTGATGGGGAGGAAATCCGTTCTGTAAATCATGGATGGAATTACATTTCTCAAGATAACTAACAACTTGGTTTTTGCTTACGAAAAATTCTCAAAGTTTGGGAGACCATTGAGGTGAGAAATAAATAACTCCTAGATCTTTCTTTTACGACTGTGAGTTATTTAGTGATGTATTTTCTTATGGACAGTTTGAGAAATATATGGACCCATTTTAAGGTTACCAAAGGAAAGTTTATTTATTTATTTATTTATTTTTTAATAGAGAGGAGTGATGAAGGAATTGGGGAATGGATAATATTTTTCGGGTATAGAATTTAGTGGTGGGATTAGTGGTGGGATTAGTGGTGAGATTAGTGGTGATATTAGTGGTGAGATTAGTGGTGAGATTAGTGGTGAGATTAAGGAGAGGATTACTACAGAGGAGGTGAGGAGAGCTGTGATTATCTTAGATCATATGTTAGGGAGTAATTATTATCAAGCAGAGTTAAGAATGATTGTGAGAGATTAGTGAGAGATTAGAGAGATTAGATAATCATGGAGAGAAATGAGAGAGAGAGAGAGAGAGAGAGAGAGAGAGAGAGAGAGAGAGAGAGAGAGATTAAAGTAAATCATAAGAGGAACGATTGATATTATACTTCGTTTTCATTGCCTACAGTAATGGTGTTCCGGGCTCACGTATATTGTTCCTTACGTGCTACTTAACGTTGATTATGTCCTGGGTTCACTTATTTTGCTACTTATGTGCTACTTGACGCTGGTAGTGTTCCATGTTCACTTATTTTGCTACTTATGTGCTACTTACGTTGATAGTGTTCCGCGTTCACTTATTATGCTACTTAAGTGCAATGTTGTTCTGGGTTCACATTCTTTGCTACTTATATGTCACTTAACGGATCTAATCTTATGCTACTTATATTTACTACTTTATTATTTATTCTAATTGTGTTTCTGGCGTAAGCCTTTGTTACTTACCGTCACTTTACCACTTACGGCTTACCATTACTTTATCACTTACTGCCACTTACCACTTACCGCCACTTACCACTTACCGTCACTTACCACTTACAATCACTTTACGACTTACTGCCACTTACCACTTACTGCCACTTACCACTTACTGCCACTTACCACTTACTG